ACCCGATGTCGCACAGGCTCCTGGAACCAAGAACGCGAGCGTCACTCGCCCTCTACCTCACGTGACAAGACAACGACAGCGTTCGTTTGCTACAACGGCCCTCAGTGGAATTGATTCCACCTAACCGCAAATGTGGTGAGCGGAATCGTGCACGCCCAATCAGCGGTGGAATTATTTGTGCATTTTGCTACCTTTCCTTTCACCCCCGGTGTGCTGATTTCACTCAACTACAATACAAGAGACAAATCAACGTGACTGATGCGCTCTGGTTTTGACAAACATGTAGATCAATGACAATAGTAAATTGTACACTATCATATTTGAAAAATTGTGAGAAACTGACTGAAGCAGTGCAGCAGGTGGCAAGCTTCAGGGCTTGGCCATTAGAATCCAACAACACTGATCTTGTTGTACAGCAAACCCTGCAAAGCTTTATCCCTATGTCGAAGACTAAAATCAGCTTTGCTAGAAGCCCAGCTGCGTCTGCGCCGCCAACTCCAAAAATTACCAGCCCCTATATTAGGCGAGCAACACCTGGCGTGACTACTATCAACTCAACTACAGTTGCCGTATCTCACGAGTTGGTCACAATACCTGCAGTCCAGAGCCTAAAGTGCTACTCAAGCGTCCGTTTTCCGAACTATGCTCGAGAGATGTGACGCAGATGGTACATCTTTTCGTACCCGCCAAACAATCCAAGTTACTAGTAACAACACTCAAACCGATATTCACTAAACAGAATCACAGTGCGCTAACGATCTTGTGCGCTAACTTACTTGAGTCAAGACTTTGCACACTAAAGGACAAGTTGGGAGATGATTACAACCAGTGGTATTCCATATGGGATGTGATTGGTATTCAGGTTGAGCCAATGGGGCGACGACGCGTAGCGCGTCACCCATATTCAGTGCACTAGGGCGAACCATGATTTCTTCGGGTAACTTTGAATTCAACTGAGGATACAGAGACAGTCCTACCTTCAGAAGTTCATCTTCGCAACTTATCGAGCAATGTACGCATACTACCAGATAATCCTTGGAAAAGCCTGCCAAATAGGAACACCATGGCGGCCCTTCTACGAACGAAAGCATAAAAGTCGTATTCGTTCATGGTGTTCCTAAATACTGTGCTCTCTACATGAAGAAGCGCAAAAGCATGACCGCAAAGCATTTTCCCTGGACTACATTATCACTAAATCACTAACAAGAATTCCTCCATCTCCAAACTACAAGGGTTGCGGTCCAAAAATATTGAGTCGTGCTACACTCCGAAGGAATGACACAAGCCTTATTGGATAGCTGATTGAAACATCGCTCCAGGTTGCCTTTCGAGATTAAGCTAAAGGTAGCAGGCTCACTGACACTGGTCTTTAGCACTTCATTGGAAGATGCAACCTCAATAAAATATTTGTCACCACAATTCTGCAGAGTTTTAGACAATATAGCATTATGGACACCTGACAGGGCAGGGAGATACACGAGAAAACCTCTCAAACTGGAAGGCTTCATGCACCATGCTGCCTACCATAAATTGAAGGACAAATGACCCAAGCAAAAAACGATTAATGTCCGACCGACGAACGATCAGCTTAAAACCAAACACGAATTTATTGTCCGCACACACACACTTCTAATATCAAAAACGCAATCATGTTTGTATATTAACACACAAGGTCTACTTAGTAAGTTAGTCGAACATGGAGAACGTCAAGCGTCACAACTGCAGGAGCTCATTCTGAGTACGGAGACCTGGTTAAGCTGAGGTAGCAGATTCTAAAGTGAATTTACCCGCTACGTCACTGCTTCCGAATGACAGTTGGAAGAGGTGGTGGCGTAATTCTCTATTACAAGGCTAGTCGATGTGTCATACCCAAAAGACGCGCCTCGCTTTATCGAGAATATTTAATATTTACTATTGACCACCAGTAGATCCGTGCTTCAGATTCACTTTGGTGCCGGCTATGGTTGCGGAACAAAGACACATGCCTTACTTTTGTGACTTGCCGTCCACCAAACTCTATGGGTGAAATGGACGTCAAACCGAACCACGTTCTTCAGGTTGGTTGAACAAGTCAAACAGTTACATCCTCATTTACAGGCGACTTTGATGTGCAGGACCTTGAATTAGGGGCGATCGATATCATGCAGTTCACAGCCTATTTACAGCCTAGTTTACAGCCTATTTACTTTCCAACCACCCTCTTTACCACAACGTGACCTCACTCACCTGATTCCGAAATGCTAACAAGCGGTCGATACATGATCTTGTGCTCACCAACGAAGAACTCATGGTCGACCGAATATATACAAGCACACCACTGGATCACTGTAACCTGGTGACTCTACTAGTTAACTATGGATGTTATACAGAATATCCTATGGAAGATTATACAGAGTATGCAGTCCCGCACTGCAACTTTTTCTGCGCTTGTTAAGGTATCTTGAACCAAGTTAACTGAATGCCCTCAGAAACCGTCTGGAACGTTTTCACAAAAACATTCACCACACTGGTAACACAGTGACTGAACAGAAATCTTTCCATCGTCAAAGGAGAAGAAAGTAATTTATGAGGAGCAGTACAGGTAAGCGCTTGTCTTTGAGGGATTTAGAATTGAGAGCTCACAAGGACTCCCTAAATCCGAAACCTGGACTGCCTATGTGATACCGCGTAAATTCTATGCGAGGTTGATCCGCGAGGACAAAGTGAGGTATCAGCAGGATTTGATGAATAGATTTTGCACGAACCGCAAAGTCTTTTACAGGCATGTGAATGGCCTTCGTAAAGTGCAAAGCGGAAATCCACCATTGGTCACGACTGACGGGTGCACGCGATCGGAACGGAAGCAGTCGTCCTCATACAGTCACATAACTCACAAACGTCCCAGAGACTAATGAGCCCAACGGTTATCCCTGTTCCTACTGTCCCACCATCAGCTTTATCCAATATCACTTTTACTTCAGGAACTGTGTTACAGAAACTGTTTGCGTATCCACAGCTCTCGTGGTGTCGATAACATTCGACCGAAGAATTTATAAGCAGCAGCCAGTGATCTGGCGAAAACTCCAGCTATATTCTATCAGTGCCGTATTGAGGAGAACAATATTCCAACAATATGGAAGGGAGAGGTCATCACTCCTATTCATTAGGTAGGTAGTCGCACTAACCAAACTAATAACCGTTCGATAACACTACTCCCTGTGCTTTCCAAGATGATGGACTCTACCACCGCTGATGCACTCATGCAATATCTGGAAAACTACAACCTGATAGCACCAGAGCAACATGGCTTCCAATAAAAGCGCTAATGTACTAAGAACCTGCTAATTGTACGCAGTAGCTGGACTAAGGCAGTTGACGGTGGAGCAGGAGTCGGTGTCATTTACCTGGACTTCTCAAAAGCGTTTGATCACTTAGAACACCGAACACCTCTCTATTAACTTCAGCTCTATGGCGTTGACGACCAGCTGCTACGTTGTATAGGCAATTTTCAGCACGAACGTTGGCTGGAATTGAGAATATGAGAATCTCTGTCCGAAGCTATAGTGGCGGAGTGCGGTACACCACAAGGCGCGTTGCTCGGGCCCCGGCTACTTTCGATTATCATAAACAAAATGGGGGTAGGAAAGAACCTCAGATTTTCTGTTCTTCTCTGATGATCTAAAGCTATGGCGAGGGATAAGAGAACCGGACACCAACGAAAAGCTCCAGCGTGACCACAACACGATTTCAAAACTGGTCAGCTCTGATACACTACCGTTCAATGTGGAAAAATGTCACGCTGTTCAATTGCGCCATAGGCATGACTACATGTATAGGCTTGGGTCACATGTATTGCAAACAAATTCCCGAGCAGGCAACCTGGGTGTGCCTATTTCCAGTGACCTTAACTGTTCAAAGCAGTCAGAGGCAGCTGCGAAGAGAGCCAACCAGCACGTCGACTTGCTGTAGAGATTATTGGAAATTTTCGACCCATCCTTCGTCCACATGATGCACAATACTTACGTGCGCCCTCACGCTGAATACGCCATCCAAGTTTTGCCAACGTTGGTTGTAGTTCTACTTAAAATGCTAGAGAAACCACAACGCAGGGCCAAAAGGCACGTCAAAGATCTAGGAAATCTGTCCTACTATCAAGGCTGAGGTCACCGGGAGTTTTCAGGGCCGCTCTTGAATGCTGCGCGGCTATCTCATATTAGTCTGACAGATATTGTGTTATCCTAATCACGTATGTTGTCAGTTGTTAAAACTCAGCCGTAACACCAACCTCAGAGGCAAACGTTTAAAAGTGTGTGCACAGTATAGCCGCCTGGAATGCCGCCTGAATTATTTGGCTCTTCAGGTGTGTCAACCCTGGAAATATCTCCCAAACTTGGTTGTTTCGTCCCTAATTTGGATATTTTCAAAAAAGGATCGTATGAGGCCCTTGGTCCCCATCATTTCGTTGCTTAAGATGTGCTACTTTGGAATATATTGCTTTCCCTTCATACCAGATTAGCATGCCACACAAACCTGAGGAAGCGGTACAGAATTGAGTATTCTCGTTTTTTCTTTTCTTCTAGAGTATATCAACTATAGCTGTTCCCATGTTGCGTCGTCGTTCGAATGCAATGCTTACTTACGTTGCTATTATGCAGCGGCGCATCTGCTAGATAAAAGCTCAAGCAGATAACTCACATATCGTTGATATTGTAGTTTTACCCCACCATCCTGCGGACTTGTGAAGCAACTGCTTTTTTACCCGCCATAAATCATTGTTCATTGTTCATTTTACACATAGCTAGCTCTTCTTGCGGCTTCCATCCTGTATACTGTATTGACGGACGTTTGATTGCCTTAGTTAGGTAGCAATAATAACATTCTCAAACTTCCCATTTGCTCTAACCTGGAGCGTAAACTTTAGCTATCAACAATTTATAAAGTATAACTAATTAAATAAAGTGTGCTAGCATCGCTGTTTAATATTATTAACTATATGAAGGGATTTACTCACAGTGACTTACAGTAACAAGTCTTGTAAATTGGCAGATTCAAAATGCATCAAAGAGTTCAGTAGTAGATACGAGGGATAGATCAACACGATCCACATGGTAACGAATTGAGTTGCAAAGGATGGTGGGCGAACCACCGTCTTGAACTGCTGGAGATAGTTGAACATGAATGTAAGAAAGGGAAATGACATAATTATTAATTTGAAATGATCATGCAAACGCGTAGTATATAGGTCTATTTCGGTTAATCAATGTTGCAGGCTAAATAAACGGTTACAGTATGTCAGCTTTTTACAAGCGCATTAAATACCATGCAATACTATCTTATTTAGAAGGCACTGAACTCATCGGGCAATACTCGTGGTTTTGGTGATATTTTCAAAAGGTTTTGTGCATGAGTTGATCAACCGGTTTAGGAATATGCTTAATACACCATACATGAAACACTACGCTGAACAATTTGTTAAATGCAACCTGATTAAAAATTACCAAATCAAACTCCGATGGCTTAACTATTAATTTTCTACTTGCTCCGCGTTGATCGTTAATGTCAAAGAAAATTCAGGGATTGACTACGATTCAAACAAAACTTGAAGCTATTTAGTCATATCTTGCGATCGCCCTGTTAGTCTCTTATCACTGGTGAAACATTTGTGTCCCCTATAACTTTTAAAAACACCATAATTTGTTTACGATTTTAAAAATTGTTGAAAACTCATACATTTATATGCTTAGAAAAAGAACCCGAAGAGCTAAATTTAATTGATGCGCTGTCTTGCTTCTTGCCTGGACTCACTGCCTACTTTAAGCTTATTATACGCATATCATTGTAAATGTACCAGAGTAAAACAATATCTTCATATAGGCCACAATGTAGTCATTTGTTGATTAAACAGAAAATCGAACAAACAGTAATATTTGCACTTATTTTCAACCTTACTTTTAAACAACAGTTTGAAGTCAGAAAGGCATTAACATAACCATAATGGAAGCGACCCGTCCTGCTGGTTAGTTTTTAGTCTATTATCGCACGCCACAGAAAAGCCCGGCAAATTCAAAGTAGATAATAAAACTTTTTCCCATGGGAGTAATAAGGGGAGTAGACCTTATTTGACTTAGTCAGACGTTGTGCGCATGCCCGGAAAAGCATTTCCCTGCCGGTTCATCTTTTCGAGATCTGATGGGATACTGTCTAGTCTATAGAAAAAACATCGGTAACTTAGGTTGTTCATTTGGTTGTTGGAGTGTTCGATAAGCTAAGCAGTGTTGTTGCAGGCATTTAATTACCACGCGAGGTGGCACCAGCAGCGCACCATTATGTCCATATTTCTATATATTCAACTTCCCTATAACTCCCTTGTAACCATAAGAAAATCAAACTGTTTATACTGCCATAAGTTACTTGATGACTAAACTTTGGTACCTTGGTCACTTGGTAAAGTAGCTATCATGTCCTCTGAACGGTAGTAACCTGCGAGGGAGTGGATAGTGAGCGAAGCTACATAACATCTAGTAAGTTAGTCAGAAATGCTGTTACCGTCTTCCGTATTCAGATTGTCTTCACAACGAACTGACAACAGTCAGATAGCTTGTCCTAGTCCCACAGTGGCCGGCTGAAATACTGCTGATGAGTGCTGAATGAATGAAAGAACTGTACAAAGTTTTTCCAGATGTGCGATGGCTGTCTGACTATGGATGTGCTGAAGCTGTATCTAAAATGTTTTCGTCTTGTTGATCCTTACCGCTTTTGCAAATGTATAGCTGTTTTGTTTTATTTATGTTATACATGTGAGATTTTATTTGGATGTGTATTTTGCGAGCTAGTTCTTGTTGCTGACGGATGCACAACTAAATAAACAATCAACATTTTGTGAAGCGCTCAATAAATAGTTAAAAGTTTCTCCATGATAACTTGCATCCCTTGTAATCTTGTTATAAGGAATTGTAAAGAAGGTGATAGAAGTCAACCACAATTTACTACAATGCCGATCAGGCGAGATTATGAATCGCTATTCACGCGTACACTACTACTCGTAGTTTAGACACATATTATTTGCATAAAGACTTGGGAAACCTCGGAAAAGATGAAAAGGACGGTATTTCCCTAGAACTAAAAGTGAAATGTTTGCCCTGCAGACTTGGGAAAATTTTGCTTCCAGCTAACAGTAAAATACTAAGAATATGCACAGGATAATTGTTAGTCTGCTGGTATAATGAAGAATGAACAATGAATTTATACGGGTTAAGAAGCTTTGCTTTACAAGCCCCGTTGGATAGTTGGTTAGGGATATCAACATAACAATAATGATGATAAGGATAGTAAAATAGTTAATAATTAAAATATGAAAATGAGGAGTTATCGTTTGCTTCGCTGCAGTCCTGCGATCCTCTTAGATTCACAGCATCCACAGTTAGCAACAAATAATTCCATGGCAAACTCCAGGTGTAGGATGGAGACGTAGTGTTAAGTAACAAAGTGTAAGTGGATGAGTGCATCGTCCAACCGTTTTGTAAATACTGTTAGTGTCGGTGCAGAGACGATTGATTCTGGGAGAGCATTCCACGGGTGACAGACACGGATGGAAAAGAAATATCTGCGGCACACCAAACGACTGTATTGTTCTGCGAAATTTAATGAGTGGCTCCTCAGGTTTGTATTGCTGCTGAGTTGCAGTAAAGGGCGGCACACATGTTGTGGGTCTCGCAGAATCAAGTATGCCACTCAATTCGCCTCGCAGTCTGTGATAGCTTCCACTCAACAATCCCAGTCGTCGCAGCCTCTCCTGGTAGGAAAGATTGCGCATTCCAATTACGTTCTTAGATGCCCGGCATTGAGGCTACTCCAGTTCATTAACGTCGTGTTTCAGTCATGGATGCTAGGCTTGAATTGCGCATTCGACATGGGGGCGAACATACGCACTGAGAAGTTGTCGAAATACGCAGCTGTTTATTTGTCCAAACGCCCGCCTCAACAGCTGGACCTGTTGGTTCCCGGTCTTCGAGGCCTTTTCCGATTGCCTGGAGCAACCCGAGTCATCTTAAACCAGGACAACCAAGTCACGTTCGAGAGTTGGTTGTTACAGTACATCCGTTTCGAGTCGGTATGAGTAGCTGCTTTGATGTCGGATGGAAAGCACCTTGCATTTACTGACGTTGAAATGCAATGAGTTTTGGGTCGACCAATGATACACCGTATCTAAATCACTCTGAAGCACATGTTGGTCGGCGTTCGCCTGGATCCTGCGCCAGATCTTGATATCTACGGCAAACGTTAGGAAGTGTGAAGCGATTCCTTGTGCAAGCTCATTAATAAACACCAAAAACAAACGTGGACCTAGAACCGAGCCTTGCGGCACACCACACTCCACTTGTATTGGGTCCGATAAAGAGTTCCGAACTCTGACCACGAAGTGCCTTTGAAATATAAAGTTGGCGGTGCAGCTTAAAAGAGGCTCTCTGATCCCGTAATGCTGCAGCTTGGATAGTAGTATCCGATGGTCTAGACGATCGAAAGCCTTGGAAAAATCCAGGTAGATCACATCAACACCTTCTCCAGCGTCGGCTGCCTCGGTCCAACTACTGCGTGCAATTATTAAATTCATTGTACATAACCGCTGTCGACGGAACTCGTGCTGCGCAGGTGTGCTGATGTTAAAGTTTTCCAGATAACACACCATTGCATCGGCAATTATGGATTCCATGAACTTGGAGAGTATAGGAGGAAGGGTTACTGGGCGGTAGTTGGAGGGATCAGTTCTGCTTTCAACTTTGTGAATCAGGCTTATTATTTCAATCTTCCATATGGCGGGAACTTGGTTTTGTTCTAAGTAGTGCTGGAAAAACTGAACTAAATGTCCTGTTAGTTGGCTTGCTGCTGCTCCCAATGCCTCTGGACGAATGGTGTGGACACCCGGCGAGCTGTGTTTGCGTAGAGAAGTCATCTTTTGCAACACAGCCTCCTCGGTAACGTTGATGCGGGTTAGTCCTGGTGAGCAGAATACAAAGCTTGGTAGATCGCTTGGTGTCAAGACTCCTTGAAACCTGGGGGCGTATTGCATCTGCAGCGCGTTTGCAGCTTCCATAGACGCTCTGGTTGGGCCATCAGCTGGCTTGAGTGGAGAAAATCCTTGCCTCACCTTTCGTAGGCTATTAACGTGCTTGTACTACAGTTTGTGGTTAGCACTGAAGGTTTTTACGATGTTCTGCTGATAAGCGGCTTTGTCTTCTCTTAACAGTTCAGTGCAGTGGTTACGTTGGGCTACGTAGTTGTCCCAATTTTCTGGTTCCGGAGCTTCTCTGTACACTCGCCATGCTGCGTTGCGTATCGTCATCCATTTTCGGGTTCTGCTCTTAACGAAAGAAACTGAGTTACACTTATTGCAAGCTTTTATCTCTGAAGCCTGTGCAATCAGCTGACTGAATGTGTTGACGAACTCGAGCCAAGCGACTTCCGGGGTTCTTCTTCGTGGAAAGACCATGTTGTGGCGCTGACTAGCTGGGCGAGTCGGTCGTACCTTGTGATGGTTCGCACAGTATCATCGTTATCATTCAGATATCCTGCGTAGCAGACGAAGTGGAAACTGATGACTGCGTGATCACTGCGACCCAACGGGCAGTCTAAAATCAATGCATCAATCATATGCTCCTCGTTGGTAAGCACAAGATCCAGCACAGATGGCCTGTTACCAGTTCTGAACCGAGTGGGCAAAGTGATGTGGTTGTAAAGAGGAGCAGCAGTTACTAGATCTTGTAGATGGGTTTTGAATTGTTCTCCGATCATGGCAGGGGCTTCTAAACAATATACGTTGAAATCACCCATGATAAGAATGTGAGTGTACTTTGTTGTAAACTGCATCTTAAAGCAGCCACTAGGTTGTAGTCGGTTTCGGGTGTTGAGTTAGGGGCGCGGTGCACCAAGACAATAAGGTAAGCGCCCCTGCCTTTTACATGCAACCGGCACCAAAGAGAGTCAGGGAACGGCGAGTCTGAATCCTCCACGGCCTCGCACTGTAAGTAGTTTCGGTAGTACAGGATTACCCCTCCTCCTTTTGTGAGCCTATCGTTCCGGATCAGCGACATGTTAGGTAGCGAAACTTCAGCGTCCGTCATTCCCGTGTGTAACCATGTCTCGATGATACCAATGACA